TTTTTGTGTTTGTGAAGCCCTGCTCAGCTAAAAGAAGTGTAGCCTTCACACAGAAAATGGCTCTGAACACTACAGAGCAACATCTGCTTTGTGAGTGTAATCCATAAAAGGCTTCCAAATGCCCTTAAAAACTGTTCCCTCTTTTCCCCAGTCTGAATGTCATCTCACAGGAAGCCATCTGGGACAAGCATGCCAGCTATTCTGCTGCAGTGATAGCAGTATTGTCCTCAAGTGCCTCAGGATGAGTCACATCAATGCAAAAGTCCAATTATAGTAGAAGCCCCCCAAAGCAGAAGTATCATTTCAAATAAATAAGACTGATGTAGCTGAACCACTGGAATTCGGAATGTAATTCAGTCACTTCATCACCTTTTACTCAAAAACCCTGCATCCCTTAAAGCACTCATGCTAAATCCCCAATCTGGTTATGACATTCCCAGCACAGATGTGATAGTCTTAAGCCCAGTGTGTATGCATTTAGAGGAGTCAATTACTTTTTTTTTTTTTTTTTGCTTATTATTTTAAAATACAATCTTTTTAAACCTGGCATTTCTTACCACTTTAGAGCAGCGAATGAACAGTGCCATCCACTGTTTCTCTGCATAATCCACAACATTTTCCTAGGATAGTCTTAAATAAGATTTAACATAAAAATTAATGCCACATTTGAAACAAAGAAATATAGATTGGTAAAAAGATGCAAGTCAAAACATATTTTTAAGGACTCAGGCTAAATCACAGAATCACAACTCTAAAAACAGATTACAACAAAGGAGATTTTTCAAAATATCTCCTCACCTGTGGATGAGCCATTCTAACTTAATTAGCTATACTGTTACTCATTTATCCTAAACCCAAATACTTCTCCAATCAAGTAGGCCATCTATTGCATTGTTGAGTATAAATTCTCTCTTCATCTTATTATAAGAATTACATTTCTTCTCCAGTGTGGTCATCAAATCTCTAGAACACGACCCTGATGAACGATACTGCTCAGAACAGGTGCCTTTAGAAATGCCTACTACAGAAGAATTAATAATATGGTTTGAATGAGACCCTGTTTTCATGGACTAAACATGGCCAATGCAACACTGTATGTCCCTGAATGTCTTTGACAATGGAATCCGAACCTTATCTTTTAGATGTATATTTTAGATGCTATTTCTATAAAAAGACTCCAAACTCATCCAATCTATGGCATTGCACATCTCACTTTGCTAAACACAGATCAGATACCTGCACTTTTCAACAATGCCACAGTTCAATAATGCAAATACACAAATGTCCTCAATGTTCACCGTAACAGAAATCCTGGAAGTAGTATATCCACTTCTTCCTGTGCTTTGCTAGAACACAACCTCAGTGTTGAGCGTTTCGCTAGACTGATCTCAGAAGGCTTGCATCCTTTTAAAACAAAAGCAGAACAGCCATTGACCACAATGATGAATGAATTAAACCTTAACAGTTTGCCTTTCATTGCTTTACTCTATATTATTTTCTTATAGGGAATGTTTAGAATTTCAAGTAAAGACCACTTTCCAATTCAAAGTGGCTGTAATTCCTGACTTTCCTTATAGTACAGATCTCTCATTGACACAAATAGTGGTAGAAACATTATTTAGAAAATTGTATAACTGCTGAGTCCCAGGTAATTCGAAGGATAATTACTTGTTCGTGATCAATGACCACTGATTATATACTACAAAACACAGAGCTATAAAACTGACAGATGATGAAAGCATATAGTTATAACACACTGTGCTGGGAACATGACTTTTATGAACCCAATGCATAGCACCCAAAATTTTCTCTAAGACATTTATAGAAAGGAAAATGCATACAGTACAATTGGTTTTACTGATCATGCTCATGCTCATTCATATTTCAGGATCAAAGAATATTTTCCAAAAGCCATTTCCTATTGATGCTGTTGTGTTTGCTCCTCACACACAATGATCAGCAGGATGCTGGGTTGTAAGGGTCAGACTGGAATTGATTTCTTTGATTTTCCTATTATGTTTTCAAAGGTAGGAAAGAATTCCACATCTTTCTGAAAGTCACTGGCTGTAAGCAGAGAGAAGTAGAGCTCCTGAGAGAGTAGATTAGACCCGATTATAACCTGACTGAAATGTTATTGCAATAAAATGACTAATACAATTCCCTCTTCTTTGGACATAGATATTTTGACCCCATGCTCCCCATGCTTGTAGCTCTTTTGACTCCCCACTTTGGGAAGCCTGCTCGTATTGAAAATGAGATTTCATGTTGACAATATTAAATTTCAATTCCTTGTTCTTTACAACTATAGTCTACTGAGGAAAGACATAACATTAATTTATTTCATTTTGTATTACATTGTGTTTTGAAATACTAAACAATGTTTGATAATGTCTTGGATCTCCAGCACATCAGTTGTTCCTTTGTAGAAAAGGCTTGTCTCACCTTTGAAATTGCTGAAATAATGTCAAACTCACAAGAGTTCCCAACATGGAATTGTTATGAAAATAAATAAGGGATTTACAAGCTGATCGCATGAGGAATGGGGCATCTCTTCCACCAACCTTTTCTTTTCTGTATGCTTAAGGCAAACCAAAATACTTAATGCCTCCAGTTGTAGCTGTCATATTAAAAGACAGGAAGAAAGATACGGTAAGAAAAGAAATTACTTTAAATCTGTTACAACTCACACATCATCAACTTACTTCATAAATTGTTGATCTGACAAAGAGGGACAACACAGCTGTAGGACTTTTCTTAGATGACTTCTGTTAATAGTGCCAGTACACTTAGGATCATAGGACTGCAAAGCCTTATGAAAATCTTTCCAGATTTCTGTGATTTTATCTGAAAGGATCTCCTCCATCTAGCAATCAAATGAATTAGTAATGCAGGAAAGAAAAAAAAAGTATCCCTGAGGTTAAACCATGATAGCGTTACCACATGAAAAAATGTACTACAATGACAAATCTAATGTTGGAAGATAACCACTTACTGAATATGAACCATGTTATCACAGTATTACAAGCTAGAACAAGAAGAGCAGGCTTCTTTATTTGGTTTGTTCCATTAAGCTCTTCATGAACCATCTAATTTAAAACAAAGTTATGTTCAATGAAAACAATTTTAGTGTATTAATTTCAAGGCATGATGCAACATCAGGCCCAAAATCTACCCTTGAAAATGTTTGTTCTGAAAACTGACTGAAAAGTGACGGCAAGAAAGCGTGTACCTCACTTCACAGATCTGCTTCTTTAAGTGACTGAAGAGGCATGTCTACTGACTGATAACAATGCAGAGCTTTTACTGTTGTTTCTCCCCTCAGTCCTGTAAACAAAATCCACTAGGACTGAATGAATTGCAAGCGGCACTCAACTTACACAGGGCATAATTTGAAGACAATGGTCCTGCACAGGGGAAAATAATGACAAAATCTGGCTTACTGAACTGGCTTTATGATCTGTCTGTAGCACTGGCAGTTAGAATAAAAGTGTTTTTCACTTGTAAATTGATTACATTAAAAGCAGAAGGTTCTGAGAAGAAACAAACACAGGATCACATTTTGACAGAAAATCTCAGCATAATTGCAGATCTGACCAAGCACTGTACTATGCAAAATTTCAGGTGAAAGGAAGGAGGTGGAGATGCCCCTTGGATTGTCTTAGCTGGATGGGGGCCTAGATTGATTCCAGGTCCTGGTTCTGCCCATTGCTGCTTTTAAGATTCCTCTGACCAAATAATTTCTGAGAAATTATAAAAATGAAGAGATTTCTTGAAAAAGTTGTCCTCTTTCATTTGTACAACCTGTAATCTGCCTTTTCTACAGGATGAGCCACATTGATGGAGCTGGCATCACCACTCAGGACGCAAACCAGAAGGATTCCCAGACACTCAGGCTTCCTTGCAGCTGCTTTTCATCAAGATCTGGGTACAAACCCAGCCACAGAGTCCGGAACAGACCTACTCCACAGGGCAGAGTCACTCTCAAAGCGTGAAACCACAGCCACCAGGGTCATGTGTGGCTACTGTATCATCCCTGGTGGTATTTCATCCCAAGGTGACAACGGTCTGTGATGTTTAGCATTTCCTTTACCTGCCTTCTTTCATTTACTTCATTTGGGATGCTTATTTCAAATGACAAAAATGGGTAGGTATGCATACGTCTCTAATATGAGCCTAACCAGCTTAATTTGTAAATCCCACTTAGTGTGCGCATCAGTTGCGCATGTAGGCACTGTCAGCATTTGCATTTTCCCCAGCATGCAAATTAGCATACAACTACTAAAATTTGCCCCAGAATTTCAGCCAGACCATTATTCTACTCAAAACCAGCTGGAAGGGACTGAACTGCTGCATCAAATGTTACTATTGTTGGAGCCATCAGAGTGGAAAGCAGCCTGTTTCAGCTCCTAACATCAAAGCGTTTCAAAGCAATGCACACCATTCAGGGCTGTTCAATGGGACCTTCTTTTTGTGCATCTAGTATCTTCTCTTGACACTACTGCTCTCCTTTGAGATCTCTCAAAAACACTATCCAAACTACCTAAGACAAAGCTAAATAAGGAGTTAGTCAGTTGACATACTAATGCAAACCTAAAAGAGATTTGATATTAAAAATTATGAAAAATTATGAACAGCATCTTAATATTAGGAAGTAGATTTGCAAACTGCATCTTAGGTTATTTCTTAGAATAATTCAGTAAGCAAAAAAGTATTGACTTATTTCTGCCAAAGGAAACGGACATACTCAGGATATAACCTCTCTGTACCTTCAGTGAATGGTTCTAAAGGAAACCAAAAAATTCAAATTCAAAAGGTGTCAAAGCTGTACCCAGGAAAACATGCAATGTCTGTGTAGTATATAGCATATATTTTGAACCAATGTATATTATAGAGAATAACAGATAAAACAAGAAACAGCAAAATATCACCAAAACAGATCTGACAACTGAAAGCTAAGAAGTACTACTGCTGTTCCTCCTCTGCTGTACACACATGCGTGAGCTAGTGATTCTGCTAGAGTTTTCAAAAACCTCCAGAAACCGTGAGATTGCTTTCCAATTGATGCTTCAGAAGGAAAAGTCTAGAAGTGCTGATTATGATTATTCCATTGCTGGAAAGAATGTGAACATACTAACTTAGATAAAAACTATATGCAGAGCATAACATTTTACCAAAACACTATCCAGCATTTTGCCACAGCCATTATAAAAGAGGTTATGACTACAGAATTAAAAGTAAACACTTACTACTGGTTCTTTTACTTCAAACAAGTCTAAAAATTCATGGTAGTCAAGGTATCCAGTCTGTTCTGGATCAATTATGTCAGTTAACTCCTGGAAGTCTTTATCTTTCATTTGAAATACCAAGTTACATAAAACATGACAAAGGTCATTTCTTGTGATCTTTCCATCTCGTTTCTAAGACAAAAAAAGAAAGCATGCATAAAAAAGAGTGAACGTTTACTAAAGCAATGCTGATTCCAACATGCCATTCTACACCACTAGATCATCCTGACCTACAATAACTGAGAGCTCTGTGGCTGTTTCAATAGTCTGTGTATACTGAACCTAGTACTTTTACTCCAGTTCCCAGTGAACGTGCAACTGCAGTATTTACTGGATGGAAGACTAAAACTATGGGAATGAAACTACAATGCCTTTTCTATCACCTTGGGATAGATTATTTAGTTTGCTGGTAAACTGTGCCACAAGCGAATAGATATGTAAACTTGCTTTGCACAGACCAGCTCACATTCACGTCAGTTTATCAGCTACGTTTGATTCCTTACCTGGTCTGGAATCAATGTTCACACAAAGTTGTGTCTGACTGAATAGCTGCTGGATCTGAGTGAACTTGACTCAGTTGAGTTAAGTTGGTTCTAAGTTGCTGTTATCATGTACCCCAACCATTGCCTTAAGTCCATGCAGAAGTCCATCAAGTGATGTCTGTTATTAGATCCTAATATAGCTCTCAGCATATTCATAGACAACATGAGCCTACATTTATCAGTACTCACTCATCTGTGGCAGGATTTTCTTCATGATTAGCTTGAGAACAACAAGCAAAAACTCAACTAAACATTTTATGTTTGAGCACAGCTTTTTTCTAGGGCTCCAGTTTTCAGATGTGGTCCATGGCCATGACGGTCCATAAGGCCAGAGTCAATGCTGTGCAAACGCTTGGGTCATTACAGAGATTTCAGTTACGGATGCAATTATAAGTACATGGTGAGCCTTGAGAAATTCTGGCTGTTGACAGTGGTGTGTTAATCCAAAACATTTGGGACCTACTGTCCTTGGACTTCCTCTTTCTTTTCTCATGTTTCCTTTGCATCTTAGTATGCATCCTTTAAAAGCGCTATACTGCTAGGCTGGGTCTCTTGGCATTCTTGACCTGGCTAATGAGGGTGAATCAGCTCTCAGGGAGAATCTTTATCCAGGGTCTGATGTCCTGTCACATTGTCATGCCAATGGATACTCATCTGGACTGTAAGGTAATAGGCTATGGATGTGCTCATGCAACAGAATCAGGGTATTTTTATTTTGCTATGCTTAAGGCATATTTTTTTTCTCAGTTCCCATGGCAAGTAATATCCATAATTTATGTAGGAGAGTTTTAAACATGGGTTTATACCAACTCTTTTCTATGACTGTCTATTGCATTTTATAATTTTAAATTTGTTCCTGAACTTTTACTTTTTTTTTTAATTGTTTCTTTATTTTCTCTAAAGAAACCTGAGGAAAGATAATGGGGGGGAAAGAAGAAGAAAGAGTGGAATAAAGGCTGTGGAACAATAACAGAAAAATTAGGAGTAAATAGTTCCTTCAGTGATTCAGTTTTCCTGGCTAAGCACTAGACAAATATCTTTCTGTTCATAAAATTCACCCTAAGAAAATTCTGTTTCCCTTTAGTCCCCCACAGAGATCCAGGGTGGCAGTAATAATATAGAGGATGAGCAATTATTTACTTCATCAGTTGGTCTGGGAAATACTTTAAAGTTTTGCAATCAAAAGATAATGGTCTTGTGAAACTACTATCTGGTATTTGAATTTTCTTTAGAGACAGTTGTCACTGCATTAAATCATATGGAAGCAAAACCTGATAATATACCTACCTCCCCCAGTAAATAAGCTTGGGAATCTGGCACCGAAGCTACAAAGACAGCCTGTACTTCACAAGAACCCATTGTGCAGAATGACTAGATCTTACCCATGAAGATGAAATATCTGTTACAATAAAAATAAATTACATTTTGTTCAAACCTTAGATAATATGAGAAAGTTAAGATATACTACATCAGGATTTATGAAGCAGAATGCATTTGCTTATTTGGCCACCTTGCAATTTTAATTTTATTTGTTTGAAAGGATTTAATTTTACTGCCCAGATCATTATCTAAGTCAGTCCAGCATCAGTGATGTGACTGGGGATGCGTTGGTCTATTCCAACAAAAAAATCATGATGTTATGTATAAATATAAACCATTCTTACATGTATTTCTTTCACTGTGGGAGCCTCTAGATGTTGGGCATTAAATAGTTCTTTCTTCAGCCTGTCTTTCTGCCATCTCGAATACTTCTGCCTTAGTTAACAATTTCATTCAGTAATGTTCCAGTTCAGTAAATGAATTAAAATCATATAGTAAAGTGCTTTACTGAATCATGGCCTGAATGCTGTAGGCATTATTATTATCTACTGCAATGTATGAAACTGATTTCTTTTCCTATAAATTGCTGGGTGAATTCTTTCTTTTTGTGGTCATATATTTATGTATATAGATGAAATACTCCAGAGCTAAAAAGAACAGTTTTTATGTAATTATATTAGAAAGGAACCGTGATATATCATCTATATAAAACCATCTAATAAAAAATGCCAATACTACTTCTGAAGATATCCCCAGTGCTCCTTTGCTTGTGTCAACCAGACTGAGAGCTTTAATTTTTTCAGTCTATTATTTGCTCATTCAATTCAGAAATACAGAGTCTACAATTTAAGAAGTGCAATATGTAGCAAATCAAAGTAATAAAAAAATCCAGGTTGTCCAAGGGTTGATCACAAAGTCCAGTGCATGGGACATACATATCATGACATTCTATCAAAACTTACAGAAAGGCATTTTAGCATAGTTCTGTACATCGTGAGGGCCACAGAGCTGGTAAGGATAGACAGTTCTTTATCAAAAGGTCATATTCCAGAACTAAACACAAAAAGGTAATCCAAAGTCTAGAAAAAGTCAGATGAAGTTACTTTTGAAACTGGAGTGAACTACGCAACAGTAGGCTCAACATTGTCAGTGTCACACACAAGTTGCCGTCTACCTGTCAGATGACGAACTGCAAACAGAAACCTTTTACAAATACCTGATAGCACTCTCTGTTTATAGTGTATTATATGAGCTTATAATAATTACTGCACTGTTCTGATTCTCATTAACTTTACCTATCATACTGATTTTATCCCTTCATCAAAAGAGATTTGCCTTGTCTGTATTTCTCCTGTGTGCACAGGGACCATGGGGATGTATATTCATTGCTAGGCAGTGTATTTGGACCTACACACTTATGACATCCTCCTTGTCCAAAACGCTGTATCTTGGATTAAGGTGTAGCCTTATCTTGCACATATTAATGCCTATCTTTAATTTAAATGTCAATCACAACTAATTGGTCTCCTTTAGCATGTAACATTAAATAGGTATTCATGTTCTGTAGTATTTTTGTAGTGTTTTATATCTTCTGTATAATGTTAAAACCATTAACTCTGTTCCTTTAAACCTTTTACAATGCCGGGAACTCTCTGAAGTTTACCTGATGCCAGATTTCAGCACAGGACAGAAAACATTTCAGTTTCTCTTAGGAATCTGATGCATTTAAGTAGGAACTTGAGTTAGGAGACTTTCCCATACTACTTGAATTCCTTGCCCTGAGATGAACACTCTCTTTTTGAAAGAGACTAAAATAAAACCAATTAAATAATGCAGGTGAAAAATTACAACTTGATACTGCAATTCTAAATTTCTAAATTTGCAGGAGACACAACAACATGACTCTGAAAGAACTATGATATCACATCTCCAGATGGCACAAATGCCAATGCTTTAGGTGACTGGCACACCACATGTGATCAAGAACAAGAACTGTCAATGCACTCCACATAATGGAATGTATAAAAATAAGGATATATAGATAATTTCTAATTTTAAAAAAGTTTAACTAATTTATACTGAGTATTGGCTCAAATTATTTTTAATGCCTTTTTGGTTTTGTGTTTCAGAATATATGGAGAAACTTTTCTGAAAACATTCTAGGAGGCTAGAGAAGTTGTTTTATTGCTAATTCCTTGGTGTTGAAACACTTGTATAATTATTTTTTCCTAGGATCTGAGTTTTAAAGTAAATCACAAAATATTGCAAGACTCACAAAAGAACAAATGGTGCTTCACCCATCCTTTTATAAAACATCAATCTGATTCAACATTTTAAAGTCAAATTTATAGTATAGTTACAGGGAACATTATATTTCTAGCTTGCACATTAGAAAGCACTGCTACTAGGTTGGGAATTTGTTCTCAGAATATGGATTAACAGGTAGGGACCAGTAGCATTTTAGATTCCAACACATCAAGAACATTTCAGAAAAAAAAATCAGGTGGAAGAAAAAGGGAGCAGGCGGTTGCTTGTGTGCTGGGCAGTGACATGATGAAGCATGCTGCATGGATCTATTAAAAACTTTTAGATAATAACATGAATATATTTAAGTCCTGGAGCAGAAGACATTCAAGTTCAAATCTATTTCTATCTCCTGAAAAAAAAAAAAAAAAAAAGAAAAAAATCTTGTTAAGTTTCTTTTTTCTACTTGCTTCATGTGTTTCATACGAATTGCAGCCAGCTTTGTAGACCTGCTTCGTTTTTCACTCCTGTAGAAACTGATAGTTAAATAGAACGTAACTCAATTTTTTTTTTTTCCCTTAAAAAAAAAAAAAAAAAAAGGCAAGAAACTTACTTTTATTAACTCTAAGACATGAAAGAATGTCTTTACTTGGTTTACATGGGTTTTTCATAATAGCAGAAAACCCACTCACACAGTTACATAAATATTTAGGAATGTTACAAATTCACGCACGTTTAGACATTAATAATGGGTTCACTGGTGAGATCACTGCTCTGTTGAACTATCACATACAGCAGCTGAGCAGGAGAATAGTATTTGCTAAAATGTTACTATGCAGACCCTAGTGTGAAAAGAAAATATGACATCCAAGAAGACTTTTCTTGTGTTGATCACATGAGACTGAACATTTTTCATAGTATTACTTCTGCATTAAGTGTCAAAGCCAGTAGGTATTGCATTTCATTTTACCAATAAGGAAATCAGCTTTTCTGGGAGCTGCCACACTGGATGATAGACTGTGGTAGGCAACAAGAGGAGGTGATCCACCTGGGCCCAGAGACAGCCCTGAGCAGGAGGAAGAGTGAGGAGAGGCAACACAGAGCCAGGTTTGGAGATGAACCCTGCATAATCAGGATATAATGCCCAACACTGAGATAACCAACGGTACCAGTCAACACAGGGATGTCAACAACTGCAAATTAACGCATCTGGATCCCTCTCTTGGAAGTAGCAACTAACAGGGCTGCCCAGGACTCTGACAGAGGCAAAATGGGCAGCGGGGCCCTGCCTGTTGTCCTGGGACAGTCTGCTGCCCGAGGAAACGGTATACCTTACTTATGCCCAGTGGCGTGCCATTTTGACTAAGAAATGAGAACACTACAGATGCAAATGGCAGATATCAAACAAGTGTGATCGATAACAGACCCAGATAACAGAAACCTTCAAATGTAATTATAGATAATAACTCATTCTCAAGAAGGTCTCTTTCTAATGAGGTCTTGCAGGGGCTGATTTTTAGCCCTGTGCTATACATTCTTCTAATGCACACAGGTACATATATGTACATGTGTGTGTTTATAAACAGAGTAAACACAGATCTCTCTCTCTTTATGTATATTTATATACATATATAAATAGACATGTGTACAAATAACCTGAAAAAAACCGAAAAACTTTAAAACATCAGATGACCATAGATAACTGAAAGACAAATGGAATGGTAAAATGACAAAGCGAAGAAACCACTGACACAGCATGTCTGGGAAGAATAAGCACAAGCAAAGAATAAGCTTCCTACATTGAGAAATGGGGAAAATATGCCAGAATAGAAGTGGAATCTTAATTATAAGAAGCAGTTACTCCTAAAGATTTGCAGGTCATAATATATAATCAAAGCATAAATAAATTGCCAGATTGATGTTAGGCATAAGGGACTCGGGCAATCCTTGGATGTAGAAACGGGATCACTTAGCAGTATCTGGAAAGTTATTTATTTTTCTGGTACCAGTGCAACTTCTATGAAAGCACCAATTCTCATTTCTGCTGTAACATTTCATGAAACACACAGAAAAACTAGCAGGGTTTCAAAGGCAGCCACAGGGATGATTAAAGAACTGGCCAATATAACTTCAGTGATATTGTAGGAGGTCAATAATTTCTGTTTATCAGAGAGGTTGTTACAGATTATTTAGTCCCCGGCTGCACATATCTATGTTAAAGAAACTTGAAAAAACAGACTCTGCATGCTGCTGTAAAAGAAAACAAAGACTGGCAACCACCAGATTACTTTGAAGCAAATATGAGACACAAATGTTTAGCTGTAAGAGTAATTAACCAAAGCAACACCTAAAAATAATTGCTCTTACTTCATCAAGCATAAGGAATGCCTGCTTTAAAGAGGGATAAGCATCTTGGATGTATCTGCACAGCTTCTGAACAACAGTATCACTGGAGAAAGCTTCATCTCCTCTAGCTGGATTTACTCTGCAAGAGCAAAAAAGACAGTCTTTGCAATGCTTTCATGTCTCACCCTCTTTTGCTCACTATGTTCTTCTCAGAGCAGGAAGAATAAATCACCTCATTATGACTCAGGGTTTGATAGGATTTAAAATAAGAGTGCACTTAGAGAAAGCATTGCCAAAAGATTTTTTAACCAAATTTAATCAAGGGTGACCATCAAGTGGATACGCTTCTCATCTCCACTAAATATGTATACCACAGGTTACTCACATAAAAAAGGAACTTCCTACTTACTTATGTTTTTTTTCTCATAGGAATTGTCTGCCTATTTTCAAAGGTGCTCCCAGGATCCCGGAATTTTTCTAAAAATTGTTGCCAAGAAATTTTACCTGTGGCTCTCAGTCCGAAACTGATTTTATAAAAGAAAACAGTTTTAAAAGATTTTCTTATAAAAACACTCTAAATTCCAAGAAGAATTTCGAGTTAGAACATCACATCATCATTATAAAATCAATGTGTGCAACATTCATAATTAGAGTAAGCTTGCATAGCTTTTCTTTGTTACTAAATATGTAAACTGAGTCGACTTATTTTCTCAATTCCAAATGTCTAGCTGTGGAAGAACTAGACCCCAAGCGAGACTTCATGTAACCAAATGTACATGCCTGCACCTGAGCAAGTCAGTCTAAGTTCCCTTTATAGTCATCGGAGAGAAACAGGCACTTTGAAGACAGGATTCATCTCATCCTAAAGTAGGCATCTAAAACTGGCTAGATGAATCCTGCCCGTTGTTTCTCTCCAGTGACTATAAAATGGAGTCTAGGAGGAGCAGTTCAAGTGTAGACGTTCAGATTACAGATGTCTAGAATGAGATAGTATTTAATGCATCCCTTCTCATTAGTTACACATAACAGTAGAGAAAATAACAAGGGGAAATAGTATGTTGGGTTTTTAAACGTTATGATGTTCATTGTATCCAAATTTGAAAACTTCTAAAGTACTGGAAGTGTTAAGCTATGTTAAAAATCCTGGGAAGTTAACTACTATCATATTCCATGAATAATTACTTTAAAATCAATAAGGACCTGATCCCATGACCCCCCAAACCATTGGCATGTCTCCTGTTCAGTTTCAATGGTACTGCAGAAAGCTCCAATGAGCATGGCTAAACACACTCCTACTTGAGATGATGCTTTGTAGGCAATTACATCCTTCACATACTATCCGAAACATGCTGACTCGCTACTCTAGTCATCTCAGAAAAGCTTTTAAAACTCCTAATGCTCCTTAAAATGGTGGCAGATGGTGTTTAGAGCATTTGCTAATGCAGGATGCATAGGACAAAGCTAAAAAACTACCAAATGCAGTCAGAGGTATGCAAGACTTCCTGGATCTTTTACAAAAAACCTCCAGTTTTTGGACTATCCAGCAGTTTCTCAAGCTCAGCCAACAAAGCTGAAAACCAAAAATTACAAGAATCACAGCATTCTGGCTTTGGTCAACCGCAACCTGACAGCACAGGGTATTTAATGGGCAGGGAGGGAACCTGACTTTTTACAGTGGTCCTGCCTGTGAGTAGCACGCACGCACGCACCACAGCTCAGTGGCTCAAGGGCTGAGCATCTCCCACTGCACAAGCAGCACAATTGCACCAGAGCCCAGAAGAGGGGCTGGGAAGGGCCAAGCACCAGACACTGAAGGTAAATGAAGACAGAGGCAGTGCTAGCATTCAGATTTCACCAGGGGAGCCATTTCATTCCCTGCAGGGAAAGCCTTTGCCAACAATACTATTGAGGGATGGGTTATTAAAAAAAGCTGTGGGAAGGACAGATATTTCATATCTGATTATTGTCTTGGATAAATGAATATGAAACAAACAGTAGGAAATAACAGATGATCTTTAAAATTAAGGCCAAGATAACAACTGTTATTTTGAGCCCCCAACTGAGAGCCCTTCACACTCAAATGTCTATGGTCTACTAAATCACTCAAATCGCACTGTAGAGAGCAATTCTGCACTGAAAATGAGCAACCAGCCAAAGCTGCGTCAATCAGAGCAACAGATCTCTCCACTTCCATCTCCTTGCTCAGAAGCCCTACAGTCGCCTCTCAGACTTCAGCATTGACAGTTGCCAAAATCCTGGGAGGTGAAGGGACCTGAGGAAGAAATACTGATGCAGATGTGTGAAGGTCTGGCATTACTAGCTACGATTTGTGGTGCCATTGATCAGTCCACAAGGTGCAGTGGTTTTTCCCTGTTCTGAAAATGAGTAACGGATTATGAAGCTCTTCCAGTTCTGCCTGTGGCTGGCCAACACAGCACTTTTCTCTTGCAGGTTTTGTCATGGAAAGAGATGAATCAGGCCCTCACAGGGGCCGGAGCAGGGTGAGGGGGAGGAACGCCCCAGCATTAAGTTTTGTGGATCAAATTGAAGAAAACCTTATTTAGACAAAGCTAAATCTGCGGGAATAAAAACTGAGGAAGGACTTCGGAGTATTTTTTTAATTTCAAAACAATCCCTCTTTATAATACTGGCCCTCAGATTTCAAGCTGTGCTAGAAGGGCAATAAGTACAATGTTTAGATGCCATAGGTAGAATAACTGAGGCATAGAAAGATCATTCCAGTGCAGGGCCAGAAAAAATGCCTGTCTTTTGTGACTGGTAATCCAGCATTTTATCTACTATAGTAGGCCAGCTAACTTATTAAAGTAATAAAACTAAATTCTGCATGGCTTTTTGGAAGTATGCTTATGGTTATGTCCAAGTAGAAAAGAGTATACTTCCAAAAGAATTGACTGATTAGAGCTGTAACAACATGGATACCTGGTAAAACCATGTGATTTATCATCTCATAGTGATCCTTTACAAAATACTACCCATTGAGAAATTTTTAACCATCAGTGCCTCAGCATCTGATACTTTTATACAAATCATAAATTAAAGAAACAAAGCATGAGGGTAATACAAAAAGTTTAAAACTACCCCTGCTGCTGAAAACTGTCCTTGTGTTTTTAACTGATATTATGTTCACCAAAGTCTTGATCAACTGAGCACAATGATTTACCTCATATCACAAATAAAAGTCACCAATTAGAAAACCCGGCAGCCACCAGAAAAGGGTCTTAGAAGTCAGGCCCTCTGTTGGCAAAGCCTTCATACTGGTCATGTATGATTTGCTCCCAGCTGTCAACAAGAATACCCTTCCCTCACACCCTTCAACCTGTGAAGGGACACAATCCACAGCAAAGCTCCAAAACATGACCAAAATATTTCTCACACTGGAATGCTGAAATACTGTGAAATTAATTCCTTCAGTTTATGCAACTCTTCATATAACCTCAAGTTCACGATGTTTTACTTGTTAGTGAAAGAATTTTCAAGAGTAGAAGTGATGGAATTCAGGGAATTTGGGACTCAGACGAGTGATGTCCTTTGAATGAAGTACACCTCAACGGTCTGCCTCTGATGTATTTGATCTTGCTGCAGTGGGGACATATACTGAGAGATAAGTGTGTGGGTAATCTGGTCCTAAACCAGTCAAGGATGAAATCCTAGCTGAAGTGTAAGGCAAAATTGCATCAACTTCAATGGGCCCTGAATTTTATATCAGGAGCCCATGAGATGTAAATACCTCAAAAAACCATAAAATGCTGTCATGTATTATTTCTTATAAACAACTCCCTGGCACATCTCATGTCATATTATTTAAACAGAATCTTAAAAACCTTGAAATCATGTCCCTTGCCCATCAATTACTATTACATTTATTATCAGCTACAATGAAGTTACTTCATTATTAGAATTAGATGACTATGAGGAACTTTTGCTGTTGTTCCATTCACCTGGTGGAGCTTTTGAATTACATTATCTGAGAAATATCACCTACGAGATATGGCATACATAGGCTTGAACATTTCTGTTTACAGCATCATTAAAATGTCACTATATTTTTCAAATGCTAGAGAAAGCTCCAGTGGAAGAATACATGCAGAAATCTTTCCATTATGCAACTGTTCTTAAGAACAAGATTTACTTTAAGATTTAAACTAGCAAGTGACATGAATTGAAAAAAAAAACTATAATAGCAATTTTTTGACAAAGTAATAGTTGATCATTGTTATATCACACTGTGAATGACTAGAAGCAAATCAGATTTATCTGCTGAATGCACAAAGCAATATGGTTACTGCAGATGACACTCTCATACAGCACCTGCTGCTGTAAAACGTATATCTGCACTGAGCTCTTTACAGCTAACTAGTGCATATAAAGAAAAAAATAACTCAACAGATTATTTACATGGATGATTCTATTCTTCCAACAATTTAAATAGATAAACTATGAATTGTGGAATCATTAAGCAGTAACGCATGATCTGCTTACTGGCCTCCTCACACTGTATGATTTGGGTGCCTTGTCCTGTTGTTGTAAGCTTAAGCGATATTTTGGAGTAAAAATGCTGTGTAAGAGTTAAGTTGTTCTTCCATTCTCTTTGACTGGCCATATGCCCTTGGCACTGTTGCCAACAAGTATAAAGTATATTCTGGCAGTTTTCTTCTCACAGTTTTTGGTTTCTGAGTACAAAAGATTAATCATGAGAGACCCTGGTCTAGATTTAACCAAAAGCCAAAAAACATCCATTCCTGTGATATTTTGGCTTTAAAAAGGAAATATGAGTTTAGGAAGCTAGTCAGCATATGCTGAAGTGATCATGTCCAGGAAATCACATTTTGGAAAATGTCGTGTGGCCTAAACTCTGTCTGCTGAGATCCTTGAGGCTGGGCTTGCAAATGTTTTCTATCCATTTATCTTCTATACACTATACCGCCCACAAGATGATTTGAGTTTTGGTCACAATACTACAAAGATGCCTGTTTAAAGTAAAATAGTACATTGACTTGAATCCAGTAGCTGGCATGATTTCTCAACCTTGACAGCAGTTCCAATAAAAATATTTATAAGGTCAAAACCCAAGTTCAAAAGATTTTTTCCTTATTTTAGCTTAAATTCACATTTCCAGGTATGAAATTGCTTTATTATGCAGCACAGAAGTGTCCCTTCAGTTATCTTTTCCAGTGACTGACAATGAGCGGTGCAGAGTGAAAGCTTTCAGCATTAGTTCATTCATTCCCTTTAGTTTCACTTCTTCCTCTTTTCCTTGCCACACCAGCATATTTAAAAGGGAGAGGCTTGTGGAGTCACACTGTCACCATGCAAATATGGTTCTAGCAGTCACGAAGCTGCTCTTCCAGCAAATTCACACCATCCCACATCACTAGTCATTTGAATGCAAGACAGTAATGCTCCCTTTCGGAAATTAAATACAAATTTATGAGCAAACAGAACTAAGAAAGCAGTAACTTAAAGCTTCGACTCCATTAAACCTATGTACCTTACTGCAAAAAACTTGGTTTTATACCCAGCTATATCAGCTTTTACATACTGTGTCATACATACTGCAACATAGGCACAAGTAAGATGAATTAATGATGGCAGTCACAAAAAGCAATAATAAAGTTATAAGGCAGCAGCACTAAAAAATGTCCCCTAAGAAAATAATATGATTCTTACCTATTCATTAGCTCTTGAAAAGTTTCATTTGGCAAAGGAAATATAAAGCCATTTATGACTGACTTCAAGTAATCCAAAGACACAAATCCACTCCGACTGACATCAATTGCTCTGAAGGCTTTTTCAATGTCCTGGTAGGCTGAACACAGCTGTAATGAATACAATTTATAGTGTTTTGTTCAGAAAAATCAAGTTCATGAAGCTTTTAAAACAATAATGCATTTTTTACAAGACCTTTTCAAATGTTCTTCTCTGTGAACTGATCAAATAGGTTACCCTGGCATGCTCTGACCGTCAGATGTTTAATTAATAAGCTCACTACAAAACAGTATTCCCAATCACACACTCTCAAATGACAAGTCAGACAAGTTTCTCAAATAATAACTGCCTCAAAATTCAGAGCTAAAAATACTTAGTGGATCACCCTGCTTGATAACACCTGTCTTAATGTAACTTTAAAACCATCCATGGCATAACCTAATATCAAAGTTCCCTTAATTAAAATGGGTCATTAGCACAATGAATACTGGAAAATGTTAGAAGACATGGAATAGTTAACCTAGCTGTTGTATAAACATATCACACATTTCTTTCTTTGGTTATTTTTTTAATTCATGGGCTGTTGCAAAGGAGCTATGTGGATGTGTTTTTGCTTATGGGACTTGTACAATGCCTGAAAGTTGACTTACTGCAGATTTTGATAAGGCTCATGAAACAATAGGAAGACTGGCTTGTTTTTCCGAAATGTTAGCTCACACCGGGTTGTTGAATACTGCAAGCATCCCTGAGGCTTTTCTCCCCCTGCCATTTTTTGACAAGTACCCCATCTGCTTCTAAGCTGATTATTGTTCATTCAAAACTGCTGAAATCACAGTGTAAAGATAATGTATAGAAAGCCCAAAATAAACATCAAGGACTGGGAGGCCTTGTAAGGTGAGACGCACTGTGCTTCCAATCCAGGCCTTGACCTCCATATCAAAGATATACAAAATGAAAAAGGGTCAAGATGTTGAATGTCCCCGTAGCCTTGTTTGTCCCTCCTCTTCTGTCTTTTCAAGGCTGAGAAAGCACAGTTACAGGTCTGTGTAATTGAGTTTGTAATAGAATATGCAGTCTTAATGCACAGTATCAGCTTCTCTTTTCCTTGAGAGTCAGGATTTTCACGACAGGAAGGCACAAGAGTTAGCGTTGGAAAAATTTGTTTCTTTTCACCTTACCATAAAGCAGGTGGAACACAGTTACGTTCCATCATCACAATCCTCAGCCTTCTTCAGTTAAGATCACATCTAAGGGCACGTGGAGAGGTCATTTGCCATGTCTATTCCAGTTCCGCTCTCTATTCTAAGCTTGCCACCACGTATAAAAAATGTGTTTCTGCAGTAGCACCTATCCACTAATAATTTATTTCACACAGGTCAGAAAATAATTGTCAGACAACGGTAACTAGTCATTACTCAGTGTAATTCATTACTTACTTTGATCTGACAGTAGTCTAGCAATTCACGTTATGAAACACCTTAGCCATCGAACTTCGATACACTCTCATTTTCTTTTAGCCTAAGGAATCTGCAGTTCCAATACATACATTTTTAATGGTGTGAATCTAATAAGCAAGACTGGAACACACAAAATAAAACAGAACTGGTGCTTCTGCTAGCTGGCTTTAAAAGCAAACAAGAAACCCTATGCATGGAATTTGTTCATAAAAGAAGTTGGCATAATTAACTGGCCTCAAAGCTTGGCAATTTTCTTTTCCTGTGATGCTGGCTCAGCTCCTCCACCTGTCAAAGTATTCTGAAGTATTAATGGCACCCCCTTACCTTTTCTCTAAATGCCTTCTCAGTGCGATCCAGACTGCACTCTGTCACAGCACACTCAGCTGGTGAAGACTGTAGAAAAAGTTTTTTCTGCTTCTGTTCCTTCTCTTTTATTTTCTGGCAGATTAGCGCTGTTAAGAAAACTGATTTAGCAAAGTCTGCAGCTTTGTCAGCTTCAAAGAAATAAAGCCATCTAAAACTCTTTTTAAAGACTGTTTTTGTTAACTGGATAAATCTTTATGTTCAAACAGACTAAACCAAACCTGAAATACAACTTTCTTTATTTCAAACCTGATCAGTAGTTCAAAATTATGCTAACTAATCTGTGCATTTGTTGTAGTAGCTTTTCATTTCATATTCCTTTTAAAACATAATACACATAACTTACAATTTTAATAGGTAACATTATTACATTTAATATCAGAAGGTACTACTAGAAACTAACTCCCTCTCTTTGTCAGTATGTTTCCAGAATGATCCACTACCAAAAATACATTTTCAGGAAATGGAAGACAGTGTCCTTATAGGCCTTTGATAATATACATGCCTATTGACCTTGAAAAGGCTCTTTTCTTTTCCATTTCCTTCACATGCTCCCATCTCACTGTCCTTAGTTCCCACAGTCGTTGGAAGAGCTTCCAGTTACTCTAAGTCAAACAGCCTTCCTCAATGATTCCCCATCAAAAAAACCCAACACCAAAACCAAACCAATTCTGTGGAATATTTATTTCAGCTGGGCTGAGCAGCTCATTTCGTGATGGTGGTTTGTTGTATACTGTTCTACTTAACGTGCTGTTGGCATGTACACTCTTTTGGGATAACGATTTTGCTATGGATGTGTTATATTTGATTCAGACCATAGCAGCCACAGGACAAGACACAGGCATTTTGAGAACCCTATGCACAAAGAGTATGTGCACCAAACTCTTTCAAAGGTTATTCCAGTGGTGCTGTATAGGAAAAAAAAGCTGTTCTGTATGGAAAAGGATACCAAAGTGTGACTACTCTGTGCTTTGCGCATGCTCTCCACTGTTCCCTCTGCCTGCTCAGTGGC